TATAGTGAATGAGTAGAAAATGGTAGCTGAAATCATTGAGGTTGAAAGGAATCACATCCTAAAGAGCCAAATAAGCCAAAGTAAAAAAAAAAAAGAATTAGGTCAAATACCTATTAGGTGAAAACAATCAAATATTGGGAATTTCATACAGTTTCAATTAGTATTTTTATTTTATTCTAATTGCAATGGGAATTTGCTAGAATCTGGTATTGAGGAAAAGAGTATGAGTTTATTCATGTCTTATCAAATGTATTTGGCTGCTTTTTTATCATAAGATTTATTTGCATTGAGATGTAACAGATATGTACCATTAAGTATGTTTTAAGTGTACAGTATGTTAACATGATATTTATATATTGCAATATGATTACCACCATAGCATTAACTAATACCTCTAGCATATCACATAATTATAATTTGTTATTTTTGGTGGGAAAAATTAAGATGTAGTCTCTTAGTGTAAGTATTAACAACCAGTGTGGTATCATAATCAGTGTTAGTATAACACAGTGCTTTTATCAATAATCACTATACAGTGAATTAGGCCTCCAGGATTTAATATCTACTAGTTCCAAGTTTGTACTCCTAAACAGCATATCCCCAATTCTCCACTCCCCTCAAACTCTGGTAACACCATTGTACTCTGTTTTTATAAGTTCATATTTTTTAGATTCCACATATAAGTGATCTCATATGTTTACTTATCTCTGTCTGACTTACCTCACATAGCATAATGCTCTCAAGGACCATGCATGTTGTTGAAAATGGCAGGATTTCTTTTTTTCTCATGGCTGAATAATTAATATATATTGCAGCTTCTTTATCCATTCATCTATTGACAGACACTTTAGTTATTTCAATATTTTGGCTATGGATAATAATGCCGCAATAAACATGGAATGCACATTTGCTTCAATATGCTGTTTTCATTTCATTTGAATATATACTCAGAAGTGAAATTGTTGGTTCATATGGTAGTTCTATTTTTAGTTTTTGAGGAACTTCTGTACCTTTTGCCTTAGTAATTGAACTAATTTGCATTCCTACCAACAGTGTACAAGAGTTCTTTTTTTTTCCACATTCTTGTAAAATTTCTCTCTTCTCTTCTTGATGATAGCCCTTCTAACAGGTATGAGATGATATCTTATTGTGGTTTTGATTTGCATTTCCCTGGTGATTAGTGATGTTGGATCTCTTCATGTAGCTGTTGGCCATTTGGATATCTTTGGAAGAGTATTTAGTTCCTCTGCCCATTTTAATTGGATTTTTTTTGTTATTGAGTTGTATGAGTTCTTTATATATTTTGGATTTTAACCCTTTGTCTGATATATAGTTTCCAAGTATACTCTCCAATTTAATAAGCTGCTTTTTCATTTTTTTATTGTTCCTTTGGCTGAGCAGAAGCTATTTAGTTTGATACAGTCTAGCATACTGATTTTTGCTTTTGTTGCATGTGCTTTTGATGTCATAACCAAAACATCATTGCCAAGATCAATATCAAGTAACTTATTTCCTATTGTGTTCTTGTAGTTTTAGGGTATCAAGTCTTATGTTTAGTTCTTTAATCCATTTTGAGTTACTTTTTCTGTGTGCTGTAAGATAGGAGCCCACTTTCATTCTTCCAAATATGGATATACTGTTTCCCCAATACCATTTGTTACAGAGACTATTCTTTCCTCATTGAGGGTTCTGGGCTCCTTAACAAGTATTAGTTGACTGTATAATAAGGGGTTTATTTCTGAGCTCTCTATTCTGCTCCATTGGTATATATGTCTAGTTTTATACCAATCCTGTAGTTTTGTAGTACAGTTTGAAATTAGGAAGTGTGATGCCTCTGACTTTGTCCTTCTTTCTCAGGATTGCTTTACTATTCAGGATCTTTTGTGGTTCCATAACAATCTTAGGATTATATTTTGCCATTTCTGTGGAAAATTCCACTGGAATTTTGATAGGGATTATATTGAATCTGTAAAAATGGCTTTGGGTAGTATGGGCATTTTAACATTAATTGTCTGATCAATGAACATGGGATATCTTACCATTTGTTTGTGTCTTCCATTTCTTTCATCAGTGGCTTGTATTTTCCTTTATACAGATCTTTTAGATCTTTGGCCAATTGTATTCCTAAATTGTTTTAGATACTGTTTTAAATGGGATAGGTTTCTTTATTTCTTTTCCAGATATTTCCTTGTTAGTGTACATAAATACAACTGATTTCTACATGTCGGTTTTATATCCTGAAAATACTGAAATTGCCGAGTAGTTCAACTTTTAAGTCTTAGATTTTCTATAATCTGAAAATAATGACAACCTTATTTCTTTCTATTTAATTTGGATGCCTCTTATTTCTTTTTCTTGCCTAATTTTTCCTTCTAGGTCTTACAGTGGTGTATTTAATAAGAGTAGTGAGAGTCATCACCTTTGTCTTATACCTGACCTTAGAGGAAAAGCTTTAAATTTCTCACAATTGAGTATAATTTTAACTGTAGATTCATCATATACAGCTTTTATTAAGTTAAGTAATGTTTCTTCTATACCCAATTTGTTGAGGGTTTTAATTGAAAGAACATTGTATCTTTTTGAAAGATTTTACTGCATCTATTGAGATGATCAACTGATTTTTACACTTCATTTATTAATATGGTATATTACATTGATTGATTTATGTATATTGAACCAGCATTGCATCCCAGGGACAAATTCCACTTGGTAATGGTGTACAATCCTTTAAATGAGTTACTGAATTTGGTTTGCTAAAATTTTGTTGAGAATATTTGCATCTATATTCATCATGGATATTAGCCTACAGTTTTCTTTGGTTGTAGTATCTTTATCTGCTTTTGGTATCATGGTTATTCTGGCCTTGTAAAATATTTGGAAGTGTAAATTCCTTATTTTGAAGACGTTAAGAATGGTGTTAATTATTTAAATGTATGGTATGATTCACCAATGAAGCAATCTGGTCCTGGGTTTTTCTGTGTTAGGAGGTTTTTAGTTACTGATTCAGTCTCTTCACATATTATTGGCTTATTCAGATTTTCTTTCCTCCAATTCTAGTCCTGGTAGTTTGTATGTTTTTCATAGTCATCATTTTTTAGTCAGTGCTCTCCTTCTCCTCTGTGAGAGATTGTCACTGCCTGATAGTTCAGCCTCTGTGAAGTGTTACCCTGATTGGGTAGTGAATGGTACTAGAAAAGATATTCCTATCTTCATCTCTGCTGTGTCCAAACGTTTTCTACTCCTTGCTACAATAGCATGCTTGAAAGTCCCCATAGGAAAGCTTTATTTCTCCAGATTCTCTCTCTCATCTGTGGGGTATCAGACCAGGTCAGCACTCTCCAGGTCTTTTTCCTGGCTGATGAGAGGGGTTGGGTAAGTTTGCTAACTCTGCTGGTTCCACAGCCCATACCAAAGTCTGTCTACCTCTTTCCAGATGCACAGGTGGGTGAGGTTCTTCCTGGGTCCCTTGGTGTAGGATTCTGCATTCCACAGGTCCCACAAATATACTTTTGTTTGTGGATGGATGTCTAAGTCATTGTTTAAAAAGGTAGACAAAAAGTAAAAATAAAAATAAAAAAAAATAAATAAAAAAGGTAGACAAAAAGGAGGAATGCCCTATGCCACCATGATGCTTTTATTTGAATGTTTTGTGGAGAATAAGCCATAAGGGGACAAGAATAGGAGTGGTATAGCATTTCAATGCTTGTGACAGTATTGACATGCTGGATCAGACTAGAAATGTAGATTGAAAAGGAGAGGTAAAACTCGTATATAAATTAACAGGAATGCTCTTACTTTGTATGTGTTATATGAGGGAAAGTGAGAAGTGAGAGAGGTACCAAGTACTTGGCTTCAGCAACAGAAGGAAAGTCAGGTGCCATTTTCTGAGTTTCAGAATGTTACAAGAGGAGAAATTCTGAGGATAAAAGAATTCACTCAATGTATCAACTTTGAAAGGACTAATAGACATTCAAGTAATGATATTTTTACATATACACATAGCAGCTCAGGACTAGGTGTTAGATTTGAGAATCATCAGTCTATCAAAGTTATGAGTCTAAATTACATGACATATGGAAAAATATAAATAGATAATGGAGTCCAAATGAGCACCCTGTAGAGTTAGTGTAGAGTCACAATGGAGGTCTTGTAACCAAGAACGGAGATTGAGTCAGATCAGTCATTAACGTAAAGATAAATAGAACGAGAATATTATTCAGCAATAAGTAAGCAGAAATACATTACTGATATATATTATAACATGGTTGAACCTCAAAAACATTATGTTAAGGTAAAAAATCAAGGTACAAAAGATTCTATGTACTATATGAAAATATATCTATGAAAGGTCCAGAAAAGGTAAGTCTATAGAGAAAATGGAAACAGATTGCATGCAAATGAGCATGATGGATCTCTTTGGAGTGATAGAAATGTTCTAAAACTGGTTGTTGTGATGGTTTTACAGCACTATAAATTAACTAAAAATCATTGAATTTCATGCATAAACTGTGAATTTTATAGTATATAAATTATTATTGAATAAATCTTTTAGGAAAAATAGGAAACCCTGGAGAACATGTTATCATTGAAAACTAGAGAATTATATTATTCCAAAAGTAATTTTCAGCCATTAGTACTAAGGGTCAAAAAATGATGGTACTCACTTAGGCAAAATGAGGGTTGATGAGTCTGATGACAGTAATCAAAGAATATTTTCTCCTCTTTGAAAAATGGTGGCTGTTTCCTCATAGTCCCCATAATTTAAACAACTCTCATAAGAGTAGAATAAATTAACCTTATGTTTTTGTCAAATTGTATAAATATTAGGATTTCATTTTTTAATTGATTAATTTATAGATATATTTGGAAAGGAACTACATCTTTAAAATGTTTATTTTTCCCATACAGTAATATGCAAAAAGGCAGCTACAAGACAGATGTTCTGGTTTCTGACCATTTAGCTGCAATACATCTTAATTGTAAGTAGTTGAAAATCAAAAATGAGTTCCAAAGAAAATTTAACTGAGCATCAATGTAGATATGTTAAAAAAGAGAATTATGTCACTGCTTTAAATTCAGAAGGGTATCTTGGGACTCCAACCTACAAAGATAAATTCACTCAACTTCCAAAGAAAACAAATTACTTGCAAAATGCTCAAGAACCTGCTGAATCTTCAAGCAATAACAGTCAACCCATCATAACATCAGTCATCACTCAAGTCTTTTATGTGCCTCTTGAGGAGAAACAGTATGTGGATCAGTTTGGTGAATATGGACAAGCAAAATTCTGTCTAGACATCATGAAAAGGACTGGTGCCAACCTAGAATTAACTTTTGTCAAAGACCAAGGCCTCTACTTTACAGTTTTTGGTAAGGAAGAAACTGTTTTTAAAGCTCAGAAGGAGATTTTTGCATGTTTTCAGAAACAAGTTTTAACTGTAGTTTATATTCCCAAGGAATATCGTGGCTTAATTATAGGCAAACCTGTACAAGGCTTGGAACAAAAAACTGCAACCAATATCCAGATCTTATGCCCAGATAACCACAATAACTGGATCAATATTGTTGGCACCAAAGTGGTCATGAAGAAGGCTCCACATGAAGTCTTACTTACACCTGCTGAACAAGACAAGTGTGCTATAGAGAGGTTAGATGTGGAAAAGGCATTATCATTCTTTTAATGTTAGACAGCACAAAATACCTTTGAACAAAGAAGAATGGGAAAGGGAAGCATGCATATACATTCCACCACCTAATGCCTATCAGATACTAACAGATGGCTTTACTGGAACAAAACAACTGGATCAGGGTCAGGCTTTTGTAAAGGAGATTCATGAGAATACTAAAAAGAAACAGCAACCATAAATATAGAGATCAACTTCAAGCACAAGTGTACCATAGGTCCCACAAGCAATTCCATTCAGGAGATACTGGAAAGAACTGGAATTTCAATAGATGCTTCACCTGCAGAAAGCATATTAAATCCTGTGACACATCAAGTTGAGCCTGAAAATTTAAGGAAGGCATGTATTGAAGCCCATTCAAAGACCATGCTTTACACTGATTCATCTATTTCTGTACCCTGCTGGCTTCACAAATTTATTTTTGGTGAGAAAGGTCATAATATATCCAAAACCACTCAGAGCCTGCTGAAAGTTCATATAGAGTTTACTAGTGGAGATAAAATTACAATAGAAGGACCAACAAAAGATATGTATTATGCTCAAGAACAAATTGAAGCCATAGTTGATTATCTAATTAACAGAATGGATTATGCAGAGGTCATTGTTGACTATAAGTTTTACAAGCACCTGATAAGGAATAATGGTGCTATCATAAACCGTAAAGACAGAAATAAAGTTTCTGTGGTAATCTCGCATGAAAATGAAAAGAACAACTTGATCAGAATTGAGGGAGAATCTCAGGATGTCCAACAGGCAAAGAGAGAAATTCTAGAACTTGCTTCTGATTTCAAAAATGAGCACACCAAAGACTTAGTTATTGAGCAAAGATATCACCAAGCAGTCATTGGGTGGGGAGGTGAACAGATCCAAGACATCCGTAAGAAATTCCCAGAGGTTATTATTGATTTTCCTGACCCAGCACAGAAAAGTGACATTATCCATTTGAGGGGGCCAAAATATGAATTAGAAAAATGCACACAATATTTGGATAATTTGGTGAGAGACATTGTAGAAAGTAACTTTTCCATAACTATTCCCATATTTAAAATGCTTCACAAAAATATCATTGGAAGAGGAGATGCCAACATCAAAAAAATCTGTTCAGCAAACAACACCAAAATTCAAGTTCCGTCAGCAAGTAGCAGCTCAGAAAATATTGTCATCAGTGGAAAGCCAGCAGATTGTGAAATAGCTTGTGACTGGATTCGTTCAATTCAGAAAAGTATAACAAATTTTTCAGAAGTGGAAATTTCTATTCCTTCCAATCTACATGAATCCCTTACTGATTCTAAAGATTGTTTGATTGGTTCAATCATGGAGGAATGTAGAAAGATCCACATCCACTTTCCAAAAGACAACTCAGGCCTTCAAAGAGTTATTATTAGGGGCCCAGCCCAAAACGTTGAGAGGGCCAAGAAAAAGCTGCTACAATTAGCAGAAGAAAAAGAAACCAAGAACTATGCTCTAATTCTTCATGCCAAATCACAATGTCATAAATTCCTCATGAATAAAAATGGTGGCGATATTACCAAAATCTGTGAAGAGACTGGAGCATGCATCATTTTCCCTGTTCCTGGTGACAAGGATAATGATTTGTTAACTATCATAGGGTCAGAGAAGTCTGTTAAAGATGCACAAAAGGAACTAGAGGCTCTAATTACAAACCTAGATAATGTGGTAGAGGACAACATACTGATAAATCCTATGTACCATCATCACCTTTTTATGCAAAGAGGCCAGGTTTTACAGAAGATTTCTGAGGAGTGTGGTGGTGTGATTATTAACTTTTCATGGTCAGGAAAACTGAGGAACAAAATCACCTTCAAAGGAGCAAAGGCTTGTGTAGAAGCAGCCAAGAAATACATCCAGGAGATTCTTGCTGTCATTGACAACCAAGTCACAACAGAATATGTTATTCCCCAGAAGTTCCATTATTTTGTCATGGGACCAATGTATTCTCAAATCCAACAAATTGCTAGAGATTGTAATGTTCAAATCAAATTCTCAGACAGTGAGGAGATCCATTCTATTAATATAGAGAAAACTGTATGAGAAAATGAAGAAGTTAGGGAAAAGAGCACTACAGAAGTAGTTTCTATTTCCCAGAGGAAATGTGACAGCATAGTTATATCAGGGCAAAAGGAAAAGTGCAAAGCAGCTATGGAAGCCCTTGAGGCTCTAATTCCTCTTATTGTTGAAGTAGATGTGCCCTTTGACTTACGCCATTACATCATTGGTCAGGAAGAAAGTGGAATACACAAGATAATGGATGAATTTAAAGTTCATATACAGATACTAGTATTTGGATTAGAGTCTGATACCATTTCCATCACTTGCCTTGCTGCTAATGTACACCAAGCCAAAGCTAGATTACAAGAACAAGTCAAGGCTTTACAAGCTGAAGTAGAAGATCAAGCATTAAGAAATTTTAAACTTCAGTTCACAATGGACCCCAAATACTACCCCATGATCATTGGTCGAAATGGTTTTGTTATTACTCGGATTTGCTTAGAGCATGATGTAACTATAAAATTTCCAAGTAAAGGGAACAATGAGATGCAAGACCAAATCACCGTCATTGGATATGAAGAAAATGCCATTGCTGCCCGGAATTCAATAATGAAAATAATGCGTAAGTTTGAAAAAACAGTTACCAAACAAATCCCACTAAACCATCGTGTTTATGGCCACATTATTGGATTCAATGGAAAATCCATTCAAAAAATAAACAATCAATTCCAAGTGGTCATCCACTTCCCTCCAAAAGGAGCCTCAGATCCAAACATTGTTACTGTGACTGGAGTCCCTGATAAAGTCACAAAAGCAGTTGATCACATCCTCAGTCTTGAAAAACATTATCTAGCTGTTATCAAAAGGATTGAGTCTCAGAAGAAGCATGTATAGAAGGTCACTCTGAAATTTAACCTATGCTTCATTCAATAGTTCTGCAGTAAAAGATGTTCCTTGTGCTGCAAACTACACTCAACAGATCCCTTATAGGAATAGCTCTGAAGATTTTCCAAGCTTGGAGGATCAAGTAGATCCTAAGATTCACTCTTGGAGATACAAAAAATAATAATAATAAATGCCAAATTATTCCAGCAAGTTTATTTGAAAATGCCAAAAAAATCTTTCTAAACCGTCCCAGCTTCTAGATCATATGCACATTCCTTCCATCTTTAAATTATGCAAAATATGTGTGCAGAAAGTGAAATGCTCAATTCTGTTTCTGTGCAGTAATTTCCAATGTAGTGTTTAATTTTCACTCAGGACCTGTTTTTGACATTTCTGCTGTGGGACAGACTTTCCATTATTTCAAATAAAGTTCATTAAAATATCAAACAAATACCACATGCTTCCTAAATTTCATGTTCTTCTTCATTATTATAGCATAATAATAGGAACTGAATAATAGGTCAAGGAGAGAACATCTGTGTCATCACCCCAAGGCACAAATGTTGACTTCAGAAAAACTCAAACTGATTGTGTTATTATTTTTTTGTTTTTATTTGCATTATTCCTAATCTATTTTGTAGACTGCAACCAGCTTCTTTGCCAACAGCCAAAACATTCACCTGCCTTGGATTATAGAATAGGAAGAAAAAAATAAAGTTTGGACAGCATGATTATGTGCTGGGCATGGTGGTGGAGTGATTGCATACCAAAAGTATAATAGCAGTGAAATTAGAGGAGATACAAAAGGCTAAGGAATGTAAGGAGTATCAGATTACTTAAAATTGTTTCGGTTTTTCAGATGAGGTTACTAAATGCTAATTGGGGAATTGAGACTTCCAAGATTTTTCATTCCCCAGACACACCCTTCAGAAGGCCTCCTTGGGGAAAAATGTGAAATCCAAGAAGAGGTTCTTCTCTTCTTTACAGTGATTTCCTAGGTCTGGTAAAACCTTAGAGTAATAGTGCCAGGTGTTATTTTAGTGGATGATGTGGGTTACTAATATTCTCCCATGGAAGATTCCCTGAAGCACTCACTACTCAATCTGATGCTGCTACAAACATCTACATCTACCTCCCCCAAAATTTTCCTCATCTGAAGTAAGCCACCATGTCCAAGCTATGTCTGCTTCCCAGGAACAACCTCAGTTTGGGAGACAAGATGGAGACAGACCTTCAGTATTAATGATTATGACCAGATCTCAAGGAGTGGCTCACTTTCTTTTAAATAATCTCAGGCTTCTGTATATCTGCATATTGTCTTTCCAAAATACCACAAACAAATGTCTAGTACCACCCATCATTTAATATCTCTTAATTTTGTTTTGTTTTGTTTTTGCAATAGAATTTAGAGACTTTACATGAAAATGTGCAAATTCTGACACCATCTCTTGCTTCATAATGCCAGGATGCTCTTCTTGCAGAGGTGGGGCTGAGTAACAGTTTAGAGAGGAAGGATGCTTGGGTGAAGGTTGTGTAGGTATATTCTTGTTTAATTTAACTAAGCGTCACCAAATTTTCTTCACTTCCACAAGTTATATGAGTTCCTAGTGGTCCACATCTTCACCTATAACTGCTGGTATTGGCCTGGCCTGGTGAACTATATTTTAACACATAGCCACTAAGTCAATGTCTTTTATGATTATTGGCATTTACCCACCCTAGCTTTTTATCCTAAACCATCAAGCCTAACCATTATGCTTTGGGTGAATCTGAGGTAGTTATCAACCCCTGGGAAATGTTACTAGCAGCATGCTAGATATTACTGTTCTACTCTCATGAGCACCATCCCCAATATCAACCATTGCTCACTAGAACCCCTGGATGGTAATTTATATTTCTGTGCTACTGGAAACTGAAATGAATCAGATGGATGCATTAAGTTTATTCCAAGGATAGATATATTATTCCTTATTCTATATACCATTAGAAATTGTTCAACCACATTATTCAATGAAGTCATCAGAGTATCTGCAATGAGAGTAAATAGAATATTAAGATATTTCAATAAATTGCATAGAGGCAATAACAATATAAAGAAAACC